AACAAGGCTGAAAGAGTGGAGAATGTGATGTGGTTTTAAAAATACATAACTGTGGAATAATTCACAGTATGGTGTCAGACAACTGTCCCCTCTTTAAAGATTCTCACAGTTAAAAAAGTCTGTTCCAAATTACTTTTATAAATCAAAATAAGTACATTTCTACATAATGACTACACAACTACATCACTAGGCTTCTGCCTGACTGATCTTATATTGTTGAATGATTAAACTCATTCCTGCCGTGGAACACAGCCTGTCTAACAGCAGGTATAGAGGCATTCTCTTGGATACGTGCTTGGTACTGAACAACGCATCTGCACAAAACTGCTTTTGAAAAATCCATTTTAATAGATACCGGCTTCTTTTTGATCCCACACTGTCTGACACAAACATTGGGTAGTCTAAATGATGGTCTCAGAAGAAATTCTAGACAGTTCATATTAAAATAATTCAGCACGTGCTTTACATCCAACAGGCATGGCAGAATAATTAACAGCTACCATTTCACATGAGAAAGAATAAGGAACATGAGGTTTTCAAAATCTGTAATTGAAATTTGAATCAATACTTGAAAAAACGGCTTGTTATCATTTATTCTACAGTCCACATTTTATTCAATTCAGTTGGAACAAAATGCAAACCAAGCTATTATCCACAGAAAGTGTGAAGTTGTTTTTCCTCATTATTGTCAACAAGCTTTGGCTTTTCTGCGCTGTGGAAGATCACAGTGAGGAACAGCAGCTGTACAAAATCACTGTATCTGCTCCTTTATTCCTCAGTGGATGTTACCCAATTGTCTGGGGACCGCTGGGAGACTGTCCTCAGTATACACTTATTCTAAATTGGACTGTCAAAGCATCCCACAGAAACCAGAAAAGCCTCTCACAACATGTCCGGTATGGGAGTGTATGAGATTGTCATTTTACAGCATGGATCTAGGGATTGATTTCTGCCTACTGTTAAGGTTCCTTTAAAAATGAACCATATCACATCCCCTTCAAACTGACAATGATAATTAACAGCAGGAGGGACAAAAGCTAATGAGCAATATGTAAATTACTTGGTGCAGTGAGGATGTGCTCATCAGTCCACTGAATTGTCCAACAAGACATGCTCAGAATTAACAAAATACTCTAACAACAGGCAGCTTGTTTTGTTCTGAGATGAAAGCAGTCTTTCAGAACATTCCTCGCCCTCTGGTTATCATAATGCATTTTGTATCTTTTCTCTTACATTTTTTATTGAATAATGAGAATGATCAAAACAACACTCCAGTGCTACATAATTAATGTGAAACGTATCCAGCACCTGGGGATCACAGGACAACAGCTGGTCTAGTCTGGAGAAAAGACCATCAGCAATTCTATTTCCTGTGAAGCACTCACAAAAACTAGCTGAAAACTGAAGTTCATCACAAAAATCTTATGGGCTAAGAAACAAAAAGAATAAGTTGTGTTAAAACTGAATGAAGGTGAAATGGCCTGACTAATGTGTGGTTTTTGTTCTATTTTTTAGCATTAATGTTCCAATACGCAGCAAGGATACAGCAGTAACAAAGAAGCACAAGTGTCAATTCAGTGAAGAAATCAGAAACTGGAATAGCTACTGTATCCTTCACATGTACAGAAAATGATTTGAATGATGTCGATTTTAGCTGTTATTAAAGTGAAGAGGAGGTCAGAAAGAAACAATACAAAAAGAGGTAAACTGGGAATTAAAGATGAATCATAAAAATAGGATGGAAATATATCCAGTGACTACATGCAGGTTTTTTTTTAAGAAATATCAGAAGAAACATTGGGATAAAAATATGACTGTAGAGGAAAAGGTTGAAGATAATAAAAATAATATGTAGAATAAGAATATAAATAATATTTATATAATATTCTAATACATAAGCTTAATATCAGAATTGAGCTGTTATGCTACAATGCTGGTGTTTGTCAGGAAACGCATCAGATGCCCCTGGAGGCCTTATTGTACCACCTGGTATTGTAGACTTTGACCATGTGGTATAAGTTCCAGAAAGGAAATCTTTTACAAAAATGTCTTAGTAATCAATTTTTTTAACTAATGAGGGCAATTCCTATCAATAAAACACAGCCCAGCTTGCTGGCACTGCTGATAACAGAAGTGCTTGAGGAAGAAAATCCAAATTCTCCAAAACCGACGTGTGTGAGTATGTTCTGTGACGGCTGATGATGTAGAAGAGATCTGGAGAACAACCCTGCTGTAAGTACAGGTCTTAACGTTTCCTCAAGAAGAGTTAAGATACATATCAGCACAGTTGTGTTTCCTCTCCTACGCAAAGACTTGTACACCCACCTTTTCCTTTGTTTCTATAATAAATTTCCAGTACTGACTATACTGGCATTTCAGTTGTGCCACTGTGAGATTTTCTGTCTCTCCTCTTACCTTACGGTACAATGAGGTCAGCAGGGGGCAGGTTTTAGCAAAGCTCCACTGCCACTGCATGCCAAGAGCATCGGACACTGGAGAGGAGGAACGGAAAGGGAAAGGGCTCATTTTGAATCAGGTTACTCTGCCGGGAAAACTGGAGATCTGTCTTTGGATAACCATAATAAAAACCTTCGTGTCTAAGGCAAACATAGATTCAAAGGCAATCTTCAGTATTGGTGCAAAGAAAAAATACTGAATATATTTTACCTTTCTGCAGGTAAATCTAACTTTCCCTGCAGAAAAGACTGACTAACATTTAAGGTTGGTGTACCAACACTTGTATGATGTGAATGTAAAGTTTTAAGAGGAACTTTTGGAAATGTTGTGTAAAAATATAATTGTTTGATTACTACAGCAAGCACAGGAAAAAGGAAACAGTTTTTCAGACACACCTTACAATTTGC